AAAGTGCATGGCAATTTGATTATCAGGCTTCTCCACAGATATATGTCAAATTGACAAGATGGCTGTTTAGTGCTAACTCTACATCACCCTCTGTATGTTACAAAGCTGTCATCTTTCTTAGGCTGTGGCTCCTTTTAAACTTAAATTCAACCCAGCGATGCATTTTTTCCTGCCCTTTCAGTGAGCTTCTAGGCATACTGGCAGTTTCAGAGACCATCATGGAATAAACTGTGATGGTAGATATATATATACACACACACACACACACACACACACACACACACACACACACACATATATATATATATTATTGATTTCAGAGAGGAAGGGAGAGGGAGAGAGAGAAACATCAATGATGAGAGAGTATCATTGATCGGCTGCCTCCTGCACACCCCCTACTGGGGATCGAGCCTGCAACCCAGGCATGTGCCCTTGACCGGACTCGAACCTGGGACCCTTCAGTCCACAGGCTGACGCTCTATCCACTTAGCCAAACCAGCTAGGGCTGTGATGGTAGATTTCAATCTGCATTTAATAAAATGCCAGAATGTTGGCTTTGCAAAATAGAGTTCCTTTTCTGAGCATAAAGATTAGCAGTTCACAATCAGGTCCTCTGTTCCTCTAAAGTAGTTTTTTACTATTTTGTTTACAGTTTAGTTAGCCTTGACACCGAACAGAAAAAACAAAAGTATTAACAACTGGAACCAATCAATAACTCACACAGCAGCCTGATTTGATAGCTTCAGGGCTGCCTCAACTGATTTCCCCTTTATAAAGCTAAAAATTTACCCCTCAGCAGTCTGCATTAACTTCTCATTCCAAAGATACATGTCACTCTGCCCAACCAAAGGGATGTCTAATTTTTTTAAATGTTGCAGCAACTTCGGATCTTAAGACTCAATAAATGCAGTGGTTGGCTCAGCCTCAAAGAACTGGAATGTGTCTGAGTCTGAGGGGAAGTCTTAATACTTGAGCAGTGCGCCTGACTCAGCCATAAATGGGCAGCCAGCCTGCATCACAACATGACAGTCAGTCAAAAAGTCCACTTCAGCACAGGAAACTGGCCAATGAGGTCAAGCATGAAAATGGGGCTAGTAGCCTTCCATTTACTCTTACAGAAATGCAGGCCAGGCAAACCTGTGGGAGGCACTGAAATCCAGTACAGATTCCTTTTTCATTTCCATCTGGGAAGATATGCTTGCCTACACACGCTGACGTGAGGCTGGTAATGTTGGGTATTTCCTAAATCTTACCAAACAAGTTAGTCACTTCCTTGTCTGTGCCATCAGGGCACCTTGCACATTCCCTCCAAGCACTATCTATCTAAACATCTGTTCCCTGCTCTATCTTTCTCAAGACTGGCAACTCTGCCTCCTATTTTCTGAGCAGTCCCTAGCAATGAGTGATGAATGAGACTGCCTTGCTCACTCTTACCACATATTTCTGTCCCTTTGAATCACTAGTTTGGGTTTGCCCTCATGAAAATTTGAGACACTTTCATATTAACTGGAAACCTCTTTTATCATTTCACTTTTGATGGACTAGATTTTTTTTCTTCAAAATAGTTTTTTCTTTAGGAGGAAATGGCTAATGTAAATCCAACAGAGAAATGCTTACTGATTTGAAAGATAGTAAAAACATATGTGCTCAATTCACTAAAAAGAAGTGAGTGATAAATTACTGAAAAAACAAGATTCTTATTTTTCTTAAGTAAATCCCCACATTAGTACATTTTGGTTTTCTTACCCCACCCCACCCCCCAAAAAAGTGCACAACAGAAGAAAAACCAATTAAGCAAAAGTTAGGATAAAAATGAGCCCCAAGTGCACAGCAAGGTGACATTAATCCTTGAATGGCCAGTCAAGGTTTTCACATCATTCTCACAGAAACTGACCAAACTGGGAAGCTAGGTATCTGGCGTTGGGGGTTGCTAATACAGTGATGGCGAACCTTTTGAGCTCAGCGTGTCAGCATTTTGAAAAACCCTAACTTAACTCTGGTGCCGTGTCACATACAGAAATTTTTTATATTTGCAACCATAGTAAAACAAAGATTTATATTTTTGATATTTATTTTATATATTTAAATGCCATTTAACAAAGAAAAATCAACCAAAAAAATGAGTTCGCGTGTCACCTCTGACACGCGTGTCATAGGTTCACCATCACTGCCCTAATAGTAAAAGCAGACATCAAAAGTGCTTATTATGTGGCTGAAATTTTTCCTGTAATCCTTATAACGCATCTATGAAGTAAATGCTGTCATTATCCCCATGGAACAGATGAGGAAACTACGGCAGAGAGAGATTAAATAAATTGTCCAAAGGTAATAGCTGTTGAGTGGCAGAACCATGACTGAAACCTGGGCTGCACTCTCTTCCGAACCGCAGCACTGGCTGCCTCACCTAGAGAGTCGTCTGTGTGCACCAGATGACAAGTAGGGAACCCACAAGTACATATTTAAAATAATCCATCAGAAAAGCTACTTTTGTTCTAAAATAAAATCCAGGCCTACCTAAAGAGGAAGCACACTCAAAATAAATGAAAGCAAACCTATGTTTTCAAGATGGTAAACTTACCAAGCAGATGTACCTCCTCTCATTCCTCAAATCCTAGTGATATGATAGAAATTTTTAAAGAGAATAAACCATAATGGCGCAAGACAACAGGCAGAAGTAACTATCAGATGGAAATGGCTGGATGGAGAAAACAGAGCAGAATAATCACAACTGAAAACAGGAATGAAAGAGGTCTGCTACAGAGATGAGAATTATTCCTCCTAATGAAATCAAGTGCAGCAGAAATGCACATCTTTGAGTTAAAAAGCATATGGACTGGCTTCTGCCTACAGCACTAGTACCTAAGACCATCTCTCTCAATAGGAGAGGTAATCTCCAAGCCTGGGCCTTGGGGCAGAGTGGAGTCTATGTCTAGGCCTTCCCAAGAAACACAGAAGGAAAAATCAGTAAATGCACCTCTACCCAGGCTGTAACACTGTGAGTGCCCCCATGTGCTCCTTGCCAACAGCAAAACCCTCCTGTGACAATTGTGAGGATCCCAGCCTGCTCCTCACCCTCACCCTCACCCTCCAGACTCTGAGCAGCTTGCTTGTGAGCATGCCCAGCTCTGCACAGCCCTATAGGGAGCCCTTACAATTAGGGAAGAGGCCTACTGCTAAAATAGAATTCCAATACTTTTGAGGAAACCTAGTGTAATTAACCCAATTCTCTATTTATAAATATGTTTGAATCACCAAGGATCAAAACAATGTAAAACTCAAAGAACTAAGATGAAAGAAAACAAGTCAAAGTTAACAGAAAAATTTGACATTGGAATTACAACACATTCTTAGTTAGTTGTACCAATGGAGGACTTGAAGCACAAGAACCCTTACAACTATTTAGAGCCAGCACTGAAAATGGTTTCAGATTTCTATTATAGCAGATTTATTACCCAAAGAACACTCTCCATAGGCTGATATTTAAATGAATGTTTATTCTCTAAGGATATATGCACTGAGATAAAAATCCTAACCCTAGCTCTAAGGGCAATATTTATGAAGGCTAGAAAAAATTTTTGTCCCTTCTACTTCAAAGAGCTGGTGTAACAATCAAAAGAGAAAAACGTATGCTTAAAAATTATTTTGGCCCTAGCTGGTTTGGCTCAGTGGATAGAGCATTGGCCTGAGGACTAAAGGGTCCCAAGGCTCGATTCCGGTCAGGGGCACATGCCCGGGTTGCGGGTTCCAGGAGGTGTGCAGGAGGCAGCCGATCAATGATTCTCTCTCATCATTAATGTTTCTATCACTCCTTTCCTCTCTGAAATCAATAAATATATATACATATATATATTTTAAAAAATTTGTTTTGGAAAGTAAAAGGCACCACACAAATACGAGGTGATGCTGTTGACTGAAAACAGGCTGCATACTGGGGAGCAGATGGCACCAGCTTTGGCTGAAAAGTTTGCTATGGACGGTCCACATACAGGAGGTCGAGAAAAAGGACTCTGCTTTTGTTAACTGATTGAAAAGAACACATTCTGAGGCCTGTAGTCTGGAGAAGACTCACTGAATAAACACTGCCAGGACTTGAACTATTAATTTTAGGGAACTAAGGAAAAACGCCAGCAATTTAGTCATTTGAGGGCACTGCTCACCAAGAGATGACCTCATATATAGCTCCAAACAGTCAGACTCATATAAGTTTGTAGACACAGAAGTTTGAATGAGACATAGGAAGCTTGAATAAGAGCCTTCCTTAGCAATCAGGTGTAGGTACTTACTAAATATATATTTATTAAATAACCACCCCATTCCAAATGTTGAACCAAGCAATTTGCTGCACTCAAAAGCGACAAAAACTGGTAAACACATCCACAGTCACTAACTGGCAAACGGTCACTAGTGGTGGTGAATAGTCACTGCTAAACCAAAATGACAAGAAATCAAGCACCTTAAATCATATGATACAAGAAAAAAAGAAAAATTCCACAGTGCTTTTCAAGTTGAGGTTTTAATAGGGCTCTTCCAAAATGTTATTAAATTATTTGTTAAAATTGCTTTCTAGTAAAAGAAGTAAGCGATACAGTAACCAAATATCTGGACCATACTTGGACTGATTCAAATCAATCGTGAAAATTAAATTTATGTAACAATTCTGAAAATGTAAACACTATCTAGATATCTGATAATAACATATGATAATTGCTATATAGGTTATTTTTAAAAGACAAAAATGGTAGTCCTTACCTTTTAGAAATAGATACTACAGTGTTTGCTGATGGATGAAATGATATGATGTCTAGGAATTACATTAAAATTATATGGAGAAGTGGGTTGGAGTATAAATGAAAAAAGCTTAGCCATGTGTTGATAATTGTTGAAGCTGGGTGTTGTATTCATGAGGGTAATTATACTATTTTCTCTACTTTTATATACAGTTGAAATTTTCCTAATAAAAAATGCTTTAAGTATACAAATGAAAGGTGGCTCATTCTTACCTCTGCTAGAATCTTTTATTACAATATCAGAGATTTCAAACAGTTTCAGAGGAAGAGGCATCTTCCGATTCGCTGCTATGGTCTTTAGGAGGCCAGGAAGAAGGGTAGTGCGCGCCACCTACAGGAGAAGATGCAAAATTGCACTGACCAAATAGGAACCAAACATACATACAGTACTTCCCTCTTATCCTCAGGAGATATGCTGCAAGAACTTCAGTGGATGCCTGAAACCACAGGTGTATGTACATACATACTATGATTTTTAAAATTAAAATCTTGAAGATTTTAAATATGTAAATTTTCATATCCTTCCTTATTTTGAAAATTGAAGTAGATTTTAAGAAATAGAAATACAGGATGAGGCAAAAGTAGGTTTACAGTTGTGCATATGAAAATACAATAATTAATAAGTAATACAAGAATAAGCTTTATGTTTCACATACAACTGTAAACCTACCTTTGCTCCACCCTATATTTAAATAGATTAAATATGAATTAATCAAAATTTTAAAAACCAGGACCAGGGAAAATGTAAATGTAATTAAAACACCAAGACAATGAGGAAAACAACACAAATATGTAGGCGCTAAAAAAACTATGCAGCTGCTATGAGCAGGCTACGACTACAGTTTCCAGCTGAGTAGCCAAAGAAGTACAAATAAACATCCCAGTTCTTTAAAACAAATATACATAAAACCTCAAAACTTCCCTGCTTTTGTCTGTGAAATAAATTTCTCACTCTAAGATATGAAGTATGTCAGCTGTCAAGACATCACGTTCCTGGCAGGGTTTTACGCGCAGTGGTATGACAGCATGATTGAGAATCTGGGCTCTGCAGACTCCAACACCATTATTTTTGGCCCAGACTCTTGCATGAGCTTCTTAAGCTGGGTTTCTCTGCTTCCACTCCTGCCACCTTATGGTCTATTCTCCACTGAGTGATCCTTTAAAACCTAAATTAGATCACGAAACTACCCTGCTCAAAAATCTCCAATAGGTTTCCATCAAATTTTGAATAAAACCCATGTCCTACATGGAGCCTCTCTCCCACCTCAGCGCCTGCTGTCCCCTGGCTTCCTGCACTCCAGCCACACACCCGCACACCACAAGCAGGTTTCCATCTCAGACCTCCCCACTTGCTCTTTCCTTCTGTAATTTTATTGACATTCTTCCCATAGACCCACATGTGGCTACCTTACTGTCTTCAAATCTCTGCGCAGAGGTCCTCTCCCACAGAGGCCTGCCCTGACCACCTAGCTAAAATAGCAGCCTCGCCTAGATCCTGCACAAGGAAGTGTAAGCCCCTAAAAGGACTTGCTAGATTGTGAGGTGGGAGAAAGAGAACATCTTTCCTATCACATTCATTCTATCAGCAAGCTGGTAATTCACCTGCAACTTGCTACTTTCTTAAATATCCTTCACTTCCCCAAACCATACAAACAAAATTACAATGTTAAAAGAAAGCTTAACTTATTGGAATAGAAACAAGCTACTTCATAGATAACTTTTCTTAGTGTTTCTCATTTTATTTTATATATAAACCTTATTTGCTTATTTAAAAACCCACACTAATATTTAAAAAAACCCACACACAAACAAACCTGAATATGATCAAGCTTCTAGATCTAACTACCAATTTATTGAAAATACTAGAGGCCCAGTGCACAAAAATTCATGCACACAGTCCAAGATCCCTCTGGCAGCCTGGGAGCCCTCGGGGGATATCCACCGGCTGGCTTAGGCCCGCTCCCCGGGGGATCGGGCCTAAGCTGGCAGTCAGACATCCCTCTGGCAGCCTTGGGGGATGTCTGACTAACATCATTGACGCTGTGCTGGCCAGCCATGAGCCGGCTTCTGGCTGAGCAGCACTCCCCCTATGGAAGTGCACTGACCATCAGGGGGCAGCTCCTGCATTGAGCGTCTGCCCCCTGGTGGTCAGTGCGTGTCATAGCAACCGGTCCTTCCCAGTTGTTCTGCCATTGGGGTCAATTTGCATATTACCCTTTAATAATATAGGATAGGGACCACTGGAATGTAGTTAGCAAAATCCTAAATGTAAGAACTCTGAAGGGCAAATGACCCAGTTCCTTCAACAGAGAGAGAAAGAGAGAGAGGGGAACAACCTGCAGAGTAAAAGAGATGTAAGAAGCACATCAGTCAACTTGGATGTACAATTTCATCTGAGTCCCAAATCAAACTGAAAAATTGAGTCAACTGGGAAAATTTGAACAATGAGTGGATATTTGAAGATATTAAGGAATATTATTGCTAATTTGGGGGAATGTGGGAAAATTCTGTAATTTTATTGACAATAATTATAATAAAACTTCACTTATTTTAACTAAATATCATTTCTTTTATTCATTTTCTAACATATCTATTATCAGAAAATAGTTCAAAGTTAAAAATTACGCAGGAAAAAGAATGGGCTTAGACGAGGGGTGGGCAAACTTTTTGACTCGAGGGCCACAATGGGTTCTTAAACTGGACCGGAGGGCCGGAACAAAAGCATGGATGGAGTGTTTGTGTGAACTAATATAAATTCAAAGTAAACATCATTACATAAAAGGGTACGGTCTTTTTTTTTTTTTAGTTTTATTCATTTCAAACGGGCTGGATCCGGCCCGCGGGCCGTAGTTTGCCCACGGCTGGCTTAGACAATAAACTGAGTTACAAGACCATAAACAACTTTAATTTAACCATAAATAAACACAAACCTGTTAGCCACATTAGTAATGGTAGGGCATATCTGTGTTGGTAAGGCAGGAGTAAAATATAGAATCTGTCAAGTCTAAAAGGCAGACTCAGTTTCATCTCAAATGTATTTTATACAGAAATATTGACTCTTAAGTGTGCAAAGCCACAGCTTCCTATAGTGACATTTAATGTGTTTCTGTTTTCCTCCCACCTATATAGAGGATTAAGACAGGATGTAAATCCTAAAAACACATTACCATATCTTAAGAAAAATATTAAAAAAAAAAGAAAGAAAACTATCAAGTTTGATAAATGAAACTGTGAGAAAAAGAAAAATTTGCAATAACCTCAAATAAAAATCCATTAAGATTAACTGAAATATCACCCTATCCAAATGAATTTTAAAATCTCTTATTAAAAAGAACACCATGGGCATTTTTTAATGTATACATGTACACTGATAGTCTGACAGAAAACTTTATGACTCCGTTTGATATTATCAGTGGGACTTTTGCTGCTGCATCACTGATGACAGAGATTTTACATCAGGTTTATATTTCGTGACCTTCAGAGATATGCACAAGCTACTACTTTCATCCATCAGGCTACTCCTATTACGAGACTTAACAACATTCATCACTGAGAACAAAGATTCACAAGTGTATGTGGATGAAACCAAAACACTGGTCGGATCTAGGAAGGCAGGGAAAGTTAAGGCAGAGGCATAGAAATTGCTCATCCCCTCTCTCGTCAATCCACGTCTATGGTTTTTAAGATAACTTGTTATGTAAAATTATTTATTTATCTAAGATGCACCTACACTGAATTTATCTGAAAAATAAAAAAGTCGATATTAAGAAAAAAATTGTAAATGGAAGATTATAAGAGAGGGTTTCGCATGCCAGCAAAAGTTACTGGCGTGCCATGTTTGGCACACGTGCCAGGGGTTGCCCACCCCTGAACTATAACTTATCCAAGGGATTTTTTTCAATATCATATGAGGTATAATATCTGAAAAAACTTTTCATAACTTATGTACTTTCTCTACTGAAAATTCTTACCTGAAATTCAGCTGTTTTAGGATTACTTATATGGACTGCATTAGTTGCAGAGATATCCAAACCAAGTTTATCAGCAATATCTTCCTGGGAGCACTAAGAAATGCATACAAAATAGATCAATATGGAAAAGTGACCACCAAATTTAATATAAGAAGTATCAAATGCTGTAAATCAACTTATTGACTTATTACAATGTTGATTCTCTATATAAATCAGTGAGTTAAGATTAAGCTAAGAATAAACATTTAGCAAATAACTGAGGCCCTCAGCAGATGCAATTTAACATCAATAGTTCTCCTACGATGAGTTCTAGCGGTGATACAGAGCTACAGTAATTTTCACATGAGGATGGTGGTATTGTCTGTACTTGGGCTGTTCCTAAGCTAGGCTTCCATTTGCCTTACCAGGGGATGGGGATTTCCTCCTTTATAATAAAATTAATTTACTGATTTCGGCCCTTTATGTCAGCTTTTCAACTCAAAGCAAATGCTTGGGAACATGTTCAAAGACAAAGAATACGTTTAATGTGGAAAAATCCCCAAGCCCTTAACCAGGGCAGCATCTAGTGGACACAGGCACAGCCAAATTAAGACTAATAATTCTAACCTAATAAATTTGGTTATGAAATTCATTGTGAACCATCAACACGCACATGAAACTATAAAATACATTATGATCTGTTATTGAAGACTTTTTTTAGTCCTTCATGTTTTTCTGTGATTAGAAACAGAAATCTCCCAACATTTCTTTATGAGAAAGTTGTACCATCTCAAATAACAAAGTTACTCTTTTAAAGCCTGGAAATTTTAGTAATCTAGATTTTATAAATTTATATAAGGAATCCTGGAATCGACAATTCAGTTTCAAAGTCAACAGTCAGCTGAGCAGAGAACATGTAAACATACCAGAGCAAACGTAAGTGCTTCGGTGAAGCCAGCAGCTGCCATGTCATATCTTAGAAGTTCCGTGAGCTTATTAAGGGGAAACTGGGGGGGAAAAGTTTAATTCACCTCAATAAAATTTGTATTTTTTAAAGAGATTTATACAGAACATGTGATAAAAGGAAACCACCCTTCCATCCTTACTAATATGCTGCTGGTGCCACCCCTCCTCCACCCTCACCACCCCAATATACCTACACAGACATACAAAACCCCACTTTACCTCTCTCACACAGAGCTGCTGCCTCCAGGCCCAGGCTAAGAAAATGAATCTCCCAGTTAGAGATTCAACAAGGGCTCTACTAGTACACTCAAAACCTGTCTTTCTTCAAAGAACTAGTCATCACAGGTTTCCAACTCTAATCAACTGGGCATCTGTTTTGTATCCTCTCCATAGCAAATGCCTCATAGCACAGCACATCCAAATACTGCTTAATTCCTATGTTCTGGCATTCAACAATCAGATTCTAACTATAAGGAGTGTTTATTTACGGGTGCAATCTTACTTGATTAGCTATGGTGTATGTTTTCGGGAGAGCCATCTGAATGTTGTTATATCCATAGGCAATAGCTGCATCTTCTACAATATCACATGCATGGATAACGTCAGCTCTGGTCGGAGGGATTTCAATCTCAATCTGATTCCCATCGCCAATGACTTCTGACTTTAAGTACATCCTAGTCAAAAGCTTAGCAATATTTTCTGGTGTTTCTCTGAAATAGGAATGTACAAACCATAAACTTCACTGCATTATTTAAAACATGTTTCTTTTTTGTTTTAAAAATCCTACTTCTTTCTCAATTCTAACAGACGTCCTATCATCACTTCACTTACTCTGAAAGGGTTTCAAAACCCTCTCCCAGCATTCTTTCAGGAAAAATTAAATAGTGTTGTGTGCACTTCACTCTTGAATTCTCTCCAACCGTAAATAAATAGATGAAATTTTCAGAGCATACCTGATTCCAACTTTTTTGTTAATTAGGTCAGCTCTCACCATCTCCTTTCGGTAAGCCAGTTCCTTAAGAGAAAGAGTTTAAGAAGCTTAAATCATCCCCATAAGATGCAGCCTTAGCCATTTTCTATTTCAACTTGCTGTTGTTACAGTTTCATTTCCCTTCCAAGAAACTGTCACTAGAGCCACATGCTGAAAATACTTGGTGTTTCAAAAAAGTATGGAGGAACAAACCTGCTACATTATGTTCATGTCAGAACATTCTACCTGCTCGACTACTGGAACTGCTCACAAAGAACATCAAATGCCAAACCGTATTCTCTTTTAGAGGGTCAGTCACCATTTTCTTCAACAAAACACTGGTGTATTTATCATTGCTAACATGCTATGAATCCTGCTGAAGATTTTCAGTCTCATCTCGGGCAAGTAGGTGTTTATGACCAAGAAAGAGTAATTCATGTACCACAATGTTCTCTCCCTTCCTGAGTCCAGGAGTGTTAGGAGACATTGCTTTCCTATCATCTTCCAGGTGGGGGAAATGCAGCCCTGCCCTAGTGCTAGCTCTCAAGCTGCTCCAGGAGCCAGCACTACCAGAGCATCTCATGAACTGGTAGTTCGTCATCTTCAAACTGTACATAACTCTACATGGTAGCAGGAACAAACACGCATAAAATCCAGGCTTTTTAGCAACTTTGGAAACACATCTATGAATATTTCTTATCACTAAATTACTCTCAAGAGTGTAACTGCCATTGGCAAAAAGGCCATAAATTTTAAGACCCGTTTGCACTCAGGTCAGGACAATGAGCCAGAGCCTTGCTGTTCCAAATACAGTTCTCGGGCAGGAGCATCAGCACCACCTGAGAGCTCGTTAGAGCGACAGACTCCCGGGCCCTTAGAGTCAGAGCAGGCACACAGGGCAGGCACACCAGACCCCCTGAGCCAGAGCTGGAATGTTCTCAAGATCCCTAGCTGAGTGCACATTAGAGTTTGAGAAACACTGGACTGGAAGCTATTGATTGCATAAAAGTAACTAACCTTTACTGAACAGTTACTAAGAGCTAAACAGGACAAGATACTCTTTTAAGATAATCTTAACCCTCATAACAGACACTATTAGTATACTCATTTTACAGATAAGGAATATGAGTTTGATATTAATAACTAGTTCAGGTCACAACAATGTTAAGCTGCTTAATCCTAGCACTGGCTATATTTCCCAGTGCTTAGAAAAATGCTTTTTAGATAATAAGCACTCAGTATACAGTTAAAAAATATATGCATGCATGCATGAAGTAACAAATGAAGAAATTAATAAACAAATTCAGGTAGCTTCATTCCAAAGCTCACAGCATTAACCATTAATTAGTGTCTCTGTTCTCTTTTTCTCCTCTAGTTCTCTTATTCCAAACTCTATTCTTTTATATGAAACTAGAGCAGCGATGGCGAACCTTTTAAGCTCAGCGTGTCAGCATTTTGAAAAACCCTAACTTAACTCTGGTGCCGTGTCACATACAGAAATTTTTTGATATTTGCAACCATAGTAAAACAAAGATTTATATTTCTGATATTTATTTTATATATTTAAATGCCATTTAACAAAGAAAAATCAACCAAAAAATGAGTTCGCGTGTCATCTCTGACACCCGTGTAATAGGTTCGCCATCACTGAACTACAGGCCTGCTGCACAAATTTCATGCACTGGAGGGGGGCCCTCAGCCCAGCCTGCGCCCTCTCGCAGTCCGGGAGCCCTCGGGGGATGTCTGACTAATGGCTTAGGCCCGCTCCCTGGGCCTAAGCCAGCAATTGGACATCCTTAGCACTGCCATGGAGGCAGAAGAGGCTCCCGTCACCGCTGCTGTGCTTGCCAGCCATGAGCCTGGCTTCTGGCTGAGCGGCACTCCCCCTGTGGGATCAGGCCAAAACCAGCTCTCCAACATCCCCTGAGGGGTCCTAGATTTCGAGAGGGCACAGGCCAGGCCAAAGGACCCCACCGGTGCACGATTGGGGCCAGGAGAGATGCGGAAGGTTGACCAGCCGGGGAGGGACTGTGGGAGGGCTCCAGGGTGTGTATGGCCCGTCTCACTCAGTCCCAATTGGCAGGACCCCAGCATCAAGCTAACCTACCAGAGTGTCTGCCCCCTGTTGGTCAGTGCATGTCATAGCGAGCGGTTGAGCAGCCTTAGCATATCATTAGCATATTATGCTTTGATTGGTTGAACAACTGACTGGTCGACCAGACACTTAGCATATTAGGCTTTTATTATATAGGATAACAGAAGACTAGAAAACATTTTCAGAGTGTTTGGGAAACACTGCTATTTCATGTGAGGAAGAATTAGTTTCCCCCAGAGGCTCATTCTTTTCTGGGAGGACAATCTGTCCTAGTCTAAGTTTACAAAGAAGTGAATAAATAAATGATGAAACACCGGTATAGCACTCCTTTTCAGAAAGTCCACCATTTCACATTTATGAAAGCTCTTTATAATAAAAATAAATGATTTCAAGGAATTAGCTACATGAGGAGAAAAGTGAACAAAATTTTAAGATATATTTCTTTTTCCTCCCAAAAGTATATATTTCACTTTTATTAACACTTGACAATTCTTCATATTAAAAAGAAAAAGGACTTTTTCAAATAAGACATTATTTTAAAATAGACGGAAAAGGCACCTCTAGCTAATCCCAAATACTACTGTGGTAGATTGTATAAATGGCCACATTCTTACAGTCTCCATGGCCTTGGAGTCTACTTCATCCCCTTTCCATCTAGCAAAATCACTGGTTCTGCTTAAAGGCACCTGAGCACCGGACATGCTCTCTTGCTGCTGGGAATCCGGCACCACCATCAGCTGGATGATGAGAGACACTTGACCTACTGACCCCACAGCCAGAACAGACATGTGGCCATCCCAGGTCATCCAGCTGTTAGCCTACCAAGCAGGGGCTACACAGGAGCGAGCCCAGCAGAGGTGAGCCAAACTGGGCCAGACCAGAAGAACTACCCAGTTGACCAACAGAATCATGACATAAACAAATCCTTGTTATTTTAAGTCACTAACTCTTGGGATGGTTTGTCACATAACAAAAGCTAACTGGTAACAACTACTAAAATAATTAAAAAAAAAAAAAAGACACTGCCTATAATTTCAGTCATGCTTTCTACAATTATACATTTATTTTGAATTATAACTAATACCCTAGAAAAAAAGATGATTCTATATACTATCAGGAAGGGGGAGGTTTTGATCTTAGCAGGTTTGATCTACTTTAAAAGCTATTTTAATAGTAGAAACTACTCTAGAAATGACAGAGGAATAATGAAAAAAACTACTTCATAAATGACAGAGGAATAATGAAAACACACACACACACACACACACACACACACACACACACACACACAAAAACCAGCTCATCAAAGAATGGCCTCACTTAATCAGAACCATAACAAAATGACTGAGACACATTTAGACATGAAAGAATAGCATGTATTAGACATGACATCTTTATATTTATAAAGCCCTCTTGGGGGGGGGAAAGCCCCAAATTAAAAATAATGCTAGTTTACATTATTTTTAGTTACAGTGATGAACAAGTGTGAAGAGACTAATGAGGTTTGGAGGGATGAGTAATCTTAAAAGGGGTGAGACTGTAAATTACCCACTTAACTAGTTAATAAGAGAATAAATCACAGAAATTATGGCCAAATAATGCTGAGGTATAATATAGTGTGTTAGGAGCTAAAGTGGGACTGTCGAGGCTTAAATCCTGGCCCACCTATAACAGGCAAACTATTTAATATCTCAAGGTTTCTGGATCTCCATCTAGAAAAGGGCATGATAACAGCAACCACTCTCAGAGGGTTAATGTGAGGATTATATCCATGTAGTGCACATAGTGTAGTTCCTGGCATGTGGGTGGATGGACAGATAAACAGGCAGCACTCCACAGCCATTACCATTATCATTATCACATCATCATCAAGTCACTTCTTAAGTACTTACTGGAAAAGTAGATGATTTTCCATTAGGAAAAACTACCTCAGCTCCTTCAACCCTGAAAAAAAAAAAAAAACTTAAGAAAACAAAGATCCATAAATTCTAGAAATGTGCATGGTTAACAAATCTTTCACTTGGTCTACAACTATAGCCTCCATATATTGAAACTGTTCACATTCCAACACTTTTTTGGTTTAATCCTCCTAAATACAACCTTACTCTACCATTCTCTCTCCTGTGGCTCCCATGTCTCTCCAGGCAGCACCCACTTGATACATTTCCCAGTCCTGTAGAGCATGCACTCTCTATGGACTCCTTGCCAGTACTGACACACACAGTCCAGGCTTTACCAGGGTGGTGTGTTACACAACAAAAGCTGACTGACACAACCACTAAAATCAATTTTTAAACAAAGCAACTGATACTGCTCATACAATTTCAGTCCTACTTTCTACAGTTATACATTTTGAATTATAATCAGTAGTCTAGAATAAGCTATGATTTGGTACACAGTAAGGGCCATATAAGTTTATTAAATATTTTTTAAATAAAAAATAGCTTTGAAAAAATTACAGTAATCTTATTGCTATATACATGGGACATAAGATTGCTCTGATATATACTTCTCTACCTTTGTCTGGCTCTTCCTCTTGCTATTCCTTCATGTTTACATTCTCAAATTCAATGATCCTTAACACAGCTTAAATTTCATTGCCTCCATGAGGCCTGCCCAGATTGCCTCAGCTAGGAGTAACTTGCCCTTACAAACAGCCAAAACATCACTGAAAATTTTTAAAGTACTTATCACTTTTTATTTTATACATTATTTATGCATATGTCTTAGCTCCCAAAGAGATTACATGTTCTAGTTACAGGAACACATTTTTCATCTTTATATTTAGCACAGGCCTTCGTGCTTTGCCTTCAGAAAAAACAATAGGGCACCAAGTGAACTTACGTAAATTGATTCTCACAATATTCACTGAACATGGTGACAATAATATCAAGAACTATTTTTGCCTGCAAAGAAAAAAGACAAATATTATGGTAATCTATAAATATATGTATTTTCTCTTCATTCAGAAATGAATATTTAATATAATTTAGTTCCCAAATATCTAAAAATGAACCTCTATACACACATTGTAAAAGGGGGAATGGAATAAACACTTATGAGCTAAATTAGGCCTGTCCTTATCTTCAAGTGTTTAGCATATATGCTGTTTTCTGAAAGGTACAATCCATGACTGAGACAAATCATTTACTTCCCCGACCCCTTCCTTGGATTCACCACATTTTGAGTACGACAAATGGTTAACTACAGATCAATACCATAAGTCTCTGCAGCCAGATGCCTGACTCTCACCTCCACCACTTAGTAGTAGTCTGGGCAAGTTACTGTCTTTGTACCTTAGTTTCGTCATCTGTTAAATGGAGATAATTAAAGTCCCTACCTCATTTGGTTATTATAAGGAGTGTGTGTGTGTGTGTGTGTGTGTGTGTATTACACAGAAAGCAATGCCTGATATAGTGAATGCCATAGCGATTTAATTTTTTTAACTAAAAAAATATGCTTAGAAAAAATACAGTAACCTTATTAGGATATATGCCTTGCTTTTATATATACTTTACTCTTATAAACAAGCTTCAAGAAAGATATCCAAGGTCTGCTAATGTATGAATTTTAAAATGTTTTTTAATATATTACTACACTATTTCCCAAGGCAAATATGATACATAAAAGTTGTAAATGAAATACCTTACAATGATCTCCAACTCTGTAAATGTACATGAATGCCATTTACCTGCCTTCTACACCCCAGCCTTCTCCTGCCTTTCAAGTTTACCTTTCTTAAGTTGCTTAATTGCCATCTCACTCTATGCCTTACTTAACATGAATAAAGAAATCATATGCCCTAGCAAAAAGCTTTCATAGCAATCTAATCCAATATATGTAGTGGTTGAAAGTGAGTGCACAATAGTATTCTACATATTCTGGATGTCATTATGTGCATAAACACTTTATTAATTGTTAAACAGAATTTCTTTATAGCCAGTTCGTTTTTAAAGAATTTTTATCAAATACACAACAGTACCAAATTACCCAGCATTTTAATTAAGCCAGCTAAGATAAATAATTTATACAGATCATATTACAATACTTATCCTCTTCTGTTTTACAGTTAGGTGGTTAATTATCCCACAACAAAAAGTTCCTTCAAGTCAAGAAACATGTAACTCATTATTAAATTCTTGGCACTGAAAAGACAGTACAGGTGCTCACTAAACATTTGTCGAATGAATGAAAGCACCATAACTGAAGTACAGAATATATCTTTCTAATTTTCTAAAATATGTTCCCACCATCAAAATAAACATATTTTTAAATTTAGCCATATAGTCTTGACCCAGAAGTAAAAACTCCCACGACAAGTTCCTTTAAGTCAAGGAACATATAACTCATTATTAAATTCTTGGCACTGAAAAAACAGTACAGGTGCTCACTAAACATTTGTCGAATGAATGAAAGCACCATAACTGAAGTATAGAATATATCTTTCTAATTTTCTAAAATATGTTCCCACCATCAAAATAAACATATTTTTAAATTTAGCCATATAGTCTTGACCCAGAAGTAAAAATCTATCCTGACAGTACAAAAATAGAAAAAAGTTTTATTTACCTTAGTAAAGTCAGTTCCTGTGCATTCGATAAATACATTTCTAGTATTTACTGTTATTTTGGAATGGTTTCCTACAATGAACACAAAATAATAGCAAAACAATCAGTTTCAGAAATATAAGTGCACAAAAAGCTCTACAAAACAGAAACTACATTTTAATTTAGAACACAATATAAATTAACATCTCAAAGTAAGGGGATATACAACTTTTATTTTAAGCTCCATTGCAGAATAAAGACAAAATAATAACAGGCCTTACTGAGTGTATCCAATGTGTCAGGAGCTATGCCAAGCACTTAGCAGAGGTTATCTCATCTCATCTTCACCACAACTCTAAGACAGAGTTGCAGAGAGACAACTAAGATTGAGAGATAGAGCTCACTGACCATGATCACAAAGTAGTAAGCAGCAAGGCTAAGATTTGGGTCTGGATCTGGCTACCTCCGGAGCCCAGATTCTTAACCCCTATAACTACTAAAGTCCAAGCTTTGGAGCTAATGTAAATTGGAAAAGAAAAGCAAACATCTATGGCTTCAACATCATTAAATTTCGTAGTTACATTCAAGTTGTCTCATCAAAAAAGCCTTCAGAAGAGTTAAGAGGGTAAAATTCAGTTTAAAAGTTTTAGTTTAACTATAAAACAGACAAAGCAGAATTTAACTTTGAGTTTAACCAAGTAAATTACTTAAAACCAAAAAAAAATCTAGAGAAAAGCATTCAAAAATATTTCCAGTCCAGCCAGCGTGGCTCAGTGGTTGAGCATAGACCTATGAACCAGGAAGTCATGGTTCCATTCCCAATCAGGGCACGTGCTCAGGTTGTGGGCTCATCCCCAGTGTGGGGCATGCAGGAGGCAGCCAATCAATGATTCTCTCTCATCACTGATGTTTCTATCTCTCTCTCCCTCCTTTTTCCTCTCTAAAATAAAAAATACATTTTTTTAAAAGAATACTTACACATTTATAAATTTTATAAAAATCCCAAGTAAGATGCTGTTGAATAATGAATGGAAAGAACTATTACAAGAAAAATCTACCAAAGACGTGAGATTCTCAGATTAAGAGTTAATTTGATTTGATTCAGCCAACTCTATTGAGAATTCTACAGAAATACTGAATAAGAAAAGATAGTAAAAATCGATGATGCTTAAGAAATAGCTCACCATTGATGATTGGAGGCATTGATAGGACGACACCATTGCTATCATAGATAACTGGGTACAGGGGCTTATTTTCAATAATATGTAAGTAATGTTTAAGATGGTTGTCAGTCTGAAAAAATTTAAGTCAAAATTAGTTTTTTATTTCTATCAATGTAATTAGTTTATATACCTACCTAGTGTAAAAAGAAGGTGAAAAGTCAGAAAAACAATAAAAGTGCCCTAGATTACAGAGAGTTCTAAGTTTTTAAAGGTGCTAATATAAATTAGTGTCTCAACATCCTAATACAGCCTCATCTCCCACTGGGAAGAGATGAAAACACAATTGAGCCATTTTTCAACAGTGAAAACAAATTTGCACTGGTAAGCCTGAGTCATCTAAAATAAAACACACACCATCACAAAACTACTTAACTTGACTTGGGGTGGTGAACACTAATACAGTGTACAGATGATGTATTGTAGAACTGTGCACCTGAAACCTGTATAATTTTGTTAAGCAGTATCACCCTAATAAATTTAATAAAAAGGAAAAAACAAACAAAAATTATTTAAATAAATCGGAGAAATCACTAGCCAATCCGGCCAAGGATAATAGTTGCTTTTTTTCTAACAATATCCACTACTCCTCCTCTTAAAGTGACTACTGAATTCCTTGTCACTATTATATGATAAAATGATAATAATGGGAGGCAAACATTTTGTAATAGTATTTCACACACACATAAAAACAAAACAAAACACTAACTAAATCTATTGTTACTTTTACTTACATGAGTTTAATTATACCCAAATATGAATATTACATTGTGGTATGGTCTACTTCAGTGATTCTCTAGGAGCAAATTAAAATCATCCAAGTGGATAAAAGTGTAATAATAAAACAAAACTATACCCACAAACAAAAATTATTTAAATAAATCGGAGAAATCACTAGCCAATCAGGCCAAGGATAATAGTTGCTTTTTTTCTAACAATATCCACTACTCCTCTTAAAGTGACTACTGAATTCCTTGTCACTGTTATACGATAAAATGATAATAATAGGAGGCAAACATTTTGTAATAGTATTTCCCACACACATAAAAAAAAAACCAAAACACTAACTAAATCTATTGTTCCTTCTACTTACATGAGTTTAATAATACCCAAATATGAATATTACATTGTGGTATGGTCTACTTCAGTGATTCTCTAGGTGCAAATTAAAATCATCCAAGTGGATAAAAGTGTAATAATAAAACAAAACTATACCCAGAACCCCTCCTCCAGATCAAATAATCAGTATCTCTGTGTTGGGGCCCAGACACTGCTATTTTTTTTAAAGCACTCAGTACATTTTTCAAATTCCAAGATTTGACTTTGAAGGAATTTCAAGATTTATGCAGAGCTATTACATAATATAGAAGAAAATTTACCTTGTATATATTCATCAGTTCACAGGCTGTATACTCCTTTGTCTTATTTAGAGGTTTGAATCTGATATCTGAAGGTCGCTTCGCAGTGTAAGTAAATGGGCCTGACAAAGTGTCCAAATCATGGGTACCTATAGCAACCAACGCTCTTTTCCTAAATGTTGAAAGAGGGAAAGAGAGAAGGAAAAAGATAGAAAAAGAGATTTGAATATTCCAAAGCAGAAATTCTAAAGATAACATAGACTATATGTGTTTTTAAATTATTTTTAGACACTTCCCTAAAATTGCCTGTTGCTTTATGCAACTTTAGAGGAGTATAAGGAACAAATTCAAACAACTATTAAAAGTAATGAGAAATTATAAAGCTACTTACAAAACATTATTTCAGTAGCTGAAGTAAATTCCTTGCCACTATGCTTTCCCAAGTGCTATGTTATAGGACATTTTCCAAATCAACATTCCCTCTGTCTTCTTTGAATTTCATTTCCTCAAGTAAACATGTTTTATTAAATTAGAGTAAACTACCAAATCGCTGTATTTTTTACTTTTCTATGTTAATACATTGTACATTAATACATTCTACATTAATAATGGAGAAAATTTAATTTAAAAGACTGAATTTACATTTAAAGTTTAATGTGTAGGGAAAGTTCAAAAGCTACTAATTTCCTTTGTTCTACAGTTTATCTACAAAGGATTTAAGGTAATTTTAGGAACTTATAATAAGTTACAAATGAGAAAAGAAATAGAAGTAGGATATCAAATAGATCCAGAACAATGTAAATATTAAATTAGAATCTAAAGGCCCACCATCTTACCAACGAGGGTCACAAATTTGGCTCTAAGCTTTCTTTTCTTCTTCTCTTTTTTACTTTTTTATTGATTTTTTTTATTGATTTTTTTTTCTTTTTAGAGAAGGGAGAGGGAGAAAGAGAGAAACATCAATGTGAAAGAGAAGCATCGATTGGTTGCCTCCCGTATACACCCCGACTGGGCACTGAACTCATACCTGGGCATGTGGCCTGACTAGGAATCAAACCAGTGACCTCTCAGAGCACAGGAAAACACCTAACCAACTGAGCCACACAGGACAGGGCTGGCTCTAAGCTTTCTAACAGACAATTCAACAAGAGAAACTTGGACAGAATTTATGGTGTCCTTAAGATTTCTTAAACCTGGTTTTAGATATATATGCATATATTTGCATATTTATGCATAACCACATATACATTAGTAATCAAGGATTAAAATGCATTAGTAATCAAGGATTTTATTAAAGTCCATATTACATTAACTCTGAAATAGTTTTTAAGATTTGCAAGAAACCATATTTTGGTCAACCTCTAAGACCAGTGACTAAAACATTAATATCGTTGAATTGAACAGAATTGTTGACAAGCAAAAAGGAAGTGTTACTTTACTCAATGAGTTATATGCTTACTAGAGGCCCAGTGCATGAATTCGGGCTGGCTGGGGGAGGGGCCGCAGTGCACGTCATGGCGACTGGTCGTTCTGGTCGATTGGCTTTTATATATATAGATTTCAGAACCAACACAAACAAATTTGACATATTAGCTAAAGCCTGATATTTGTTATCATCAGTAAATATGTAATTTCCATTACAGTTTTGAAATACTAAAATTATTTCAAGGACTCTCATCATTACGTTCCTTGACCTTCAGCAGTTCAGGAATTATTTAGGTTTGAAGATCACTATACTGATGGGAAATGATGTATAGTAACGTTAAAGATACAATAGGAAAATTTGGTCATTTAAAAGTTTCCAGTTTTATCTGTCAATTTATAATTAAGCTCACTCAAAAAGTGCATTCAAGCCAAAAATTTCCCACTTTAAAAATGAAGATCATACTTCAAATTACCATGGCTTATTATTTAAAAGTATAATCCACTACTAATGATTTGAACCAAAACACAAAAAAACAAGAAAATTTCTAGGACTAGATAGTGGTTCTATACAGTAATCAAAATATATCTTATTTTCCAATGCACACACTATTTATAAGCAATAATAATTAGTTGTCTGGTAAAGGAAATTTAACCTCGTCACTCTCACATTTTATTACTTTAGAAATGCTTTGAAAAATTCTGAATATGAAGAAGAAAGGAAAAAGGGAGGGAAACAGAAAAGGCAGGAAGAAGGGGAGAGAGGAAGAATGGAGAGATAAAGTGACGGAAGGCAGAGAGAAAAGAAAATGCAACCACAAACCTGCAAATGTTCTGATGCAACTTCTCTTGAAGTTCAATGAAGCTGTCATAGCGATCTTTAGTAAACTTTATATTTCGGAGAACTGCTGCTACAGCGTAAGGGCGTATTTTAGCTGTCTGAAATTAATCATGTCATTAGAGATGGTAAGTATGAAGGCTTTTCTTTGTAATAACATTTTGTAATAGAAAGTTAGCGGCACTCTTGACATTATCACACATTTTCATTCAAAAAGTATATATTCATTCATTCAAGTAATAAAATATAGTGGTGACAAGAGACAAAGTCATTGTCCTCATGGAATTTCCATTCAGTAAGAATTCTGAAAATTTACTAAATGAGAAAAAGTTATCTTTTAAGTAGTTTGCTCTAGTTGATTATTTTTTTACCAAAATAACCTCCCCCAAAAGTTAAAAGGAAAAAAAGCAAGTCGATACTTATTTAAAAAAAAAAAAAGAATTCTGAAAATTTACTAAATGAGAAAAAGTTCTTTTAAGTAGTTTGCTCTAGTTAATTATTTTTTTACCAAAATAACCTCCCCCAAAAGTTAATTTTTAATTTTATCACTGTACCACAATTTAAACAATTATATCTCAAATGTATTTTAAATAAATATTTGGATGTTATTTTCCAAAACAGATGCTTTGTCCCTTTCATTGCTTGATACAAACAAATTGACAGTTTTTAAAAACTAGAAGGTTAAATATACATCCATTTTAGCAAATGATCAAAGAAATTATATTTGGCAAAAGATTCGGCTTTGTTCTTTTTTCCACCCACATGACTGATATATACACAAAAGAAATTGTTTTTAAAGGAAAATAAGATTTTATCCTTATTACCTCTTCTGTGATGATCAATTTCTGGATTTCTCCATTAGGCATTACCCGTTTATATACTGGAGCCTTTATCCTAAAATAATATTAAAACAAACTTGCTCATTATTAACCAAAACATTTGATAACTTAAGTATATTCTCTGCTGTGTAAACAAAATGAACAATAGGCTGAAGTTACAGCAAATCAAATTTGAACTGAATATAAAAAACAACACACAAACTAACAAACTTTCTAACATATAAAGTTCTCCATAAAACCATTAACCACTTCACTGTTAAAATATGTTCCCAAAATGAAAGGCTATGACTCAATATTCAGAGAGTGTTTCAAATGGCTACAATCTACATGAATCTCACGCACTAATCATCCCTCTACCCAGCGGTTCTCAACCTGTGGGTCGCAAACAATGAAAATACATCCTGCATATCAGATATTTACATTACGATTCATAACAGTAGCAAAATTACAGTTATGAAGTAGCAACGAAAATAATTTTATGGTTGGGGGTCACCACAACATGAGAAACTGTATTAAAGGGTCGGGCATTAGGAAGGTTGAGACCCACTGCCAGACCTAGAGCTGTGTGCCTGTCCAACAAGGTTTTTGCTAGAAACTTAAAACAATGACAGGCAAAGAAAAAACATCCAATTTGGCAAAGTATTTAATGAATATATACCCTTACCTTTCTTTAAAGACTTGAAGTCCTCGGACCAATCCCTCCAGACATAGGAGATCATATCTATTGGCTGGAACGTCAATTTTGTAAAGAATAACATCAGATGCCCCCTCTGCCTTTTCATTACCTTGTTCCTTACTTATAATTTCCTTCTCAGAAGTCTAAAACAAGCACAATAAAATAAAATGAAATTCTTTGGCAAAAGTAGTTGTCAGCACTATAAAGCAGTAACTACATTACATATATTATTTTCTGCAACAAAACATAGGTTTATTATAATCTGCAACAAACATAAAAATGACTTTTACTGAGCTCACACATCTAGCATTCTCATATTCTCTCTCTCAAAGAGACTAATATATGAGGCCCAAAGAGACTAATATGTGAGGCCCAGACAGGCAATGTAATTGTCACTGGTTACACAGCTAGTGATCGTGGGAACTCCAACTACTACTCAAATTTTCTGATATCTAGTCCAAAGTTCTTACTGCACAACCTCAAACTTAATTTTGAGGTCTAATTAAATTATTGATAGCAACTTAATATAAACTACAGAAATCTTAGCCAACTTCTCAAGCATACAGATGCTTATTAATGTAAAAAATCTTCCTGTAATATTAGTAAAGGCACAGCAGGAAAAACAAGGCAAGGCAATGAACATTTTTGTCAGCCTGACAATTTTTTAACTTTATAGTGTTATAAAATACTGAATAGATCAATAAGATAAAAGGCTTAAAAAATAAGTAAGTCTTTACTACATAATCAATATTAGTGGATATATTTTGTAAATTAAGCTATTTTAAAAATATTTCAATCATTACATAATTTAAAAAACTAGGAAAATGCTTCATAATCATTTCTATAAGCCATTCTTCAAAAATAGATCATTTTAGAAGATCAATGTAGAGTATATAGTAGTGATGGCGAACCTATGACACGCGTGTCAGAGGTGACACACGAACTCATTTTTTTTGGTTGACTTTTCTTTGTTAAATGGCATTTAAATATATAAAATAAATATCAAAAATATACATCTTTGTTTTACTATGGTTGAAAATATCAAAAAATTTCTATATGTGACACAGCACCAGAGTTAAGTTAGGGTTTTTCAAAATGCTGACACGCCAAGCTCAAAAGGTTCGCCATCACTGGTATATACAGTAATGACCTAGGGATGAATTAACATTGGTTGAGTATGCATGGAGGAAGGTGGGGCTGGGGATCGGAGAAGTGAAGGAGGGGGAGCCGGAGGCCAAGGAGACAGCAACTCCGGCTGAAGCAGCATTTCCACCGCTTCCCAGGTCCCTTTCCATATGGTTAATCTGCAATAAGGCACCTCACTGCCAGAGCTCACTCTGATTCTAGGGTTACCTGAGATGGTCTACCCAGCTCCACAGCACTAGCCAGATAACGTGCGGTGTCTGCACACAGAAAAAGGCATGAACCCCTTTAGAGATTTTAATCAAAGCAACACTCTCAGAACCAGAGCTTAGCCTCTTAACAGAGAACACAGGAATCACCATGGCCCACAAGTGTAACAAAAATAAACTATAGTAAACATCTGAAAAATGGGCTTAAACACAGAATATTAGAAAAATAAACATCCAATACATACGATTTCATCAAGTTCCAGGCCAAATTCAAAGCATAGTTCATCAAATTCTTCGTCAGCTAGGGGGGGGAAAAAGGATATTGCTTTAATCTGATCAGCATAAATGAACTGTGTAGAAACTGCATTTTTCTTATTAATTGCCTTACACCAAGCATACTAAGTATCAGTCATCAAATGTCACCACTTAACAACAAAAAATGCTTGAACAAAAAATTTAAAAATAAGAAAAAACACACAAAACTTTTATTAAAGGGCTGATTCATCTAACATCAACTATGGAATTGGGTTACCTGAACTGGGAAGTTTACATTTACTTAGAAGAAAAACCCATTAAATAGGGATCAATGGTTAGGCTCCAAATTACAGACCCAACACATTGAAATGTCATATAAATCCTATCATTCAAAATTCTCTGAGGCAGCCTGACAGTTGGCTTTGGAGGCAAGCCTATCAGAGTTTGAATTCTGACTATCCCACTTACTAGTTCTGGAGTTTGGAACCTTACATAAACTTTCTAATTCCTATGCCTCCTCCATAAAGTGGATCAAAATGCCTCATCCATAAGATAGCATTTTGCAGACATTTATGTATAGCATGCAACTATTGGAAAAATTTTAATTAAGTTCATGAAAATAATGGGCCTGTCACAGTGCCCTGAAATGTAGTAACTCTGCAACAACTAATTGTTCTCTTCCTTATTTTAAGTTATATTCTACTTTACTCTGCTACCTGATACAGCATTTCTAGGGTTTGCTCATTACCAAAAATTGAACACAAAGCATCATTACCAGTATATTCTAGTGAAAAGCTGGCCTTAAGATTCCAGATCCCAATATTAAATCAATTTAACAAACATTTATTGAGCACTTACTATATACCAGGCACTGTACCAAGTGTCAGGGCTACAAAGATAAAGAAAACACAATTCCTATGTTAACTATCTCCTACTCTAGTAAAAACACCAGATGTGTAAATATAGTGAAGTGCAAGGTACAGAGATGACCCAAAGGAAGTAATCAGCTCCACTTAGGGTCAACTAAGGCTTAAAAAAAAAGGATGCGTTCATTAGGCAGATTGTAGGGAGACAACAGCATGGCAAATTTGGAAAGTTCAATATAGATGAAGCATAAGGTTCATGTCAAGAAGAGATGGGACGGAACAAGTAGACAGAAGTCATGTCATAACACCCTCAGGGACTTGCCTTCCGTCCTGCCTGCTGGCAATGGGGAGTTACACTGACGGATTTTCAGCTGAGCAAAAGCATCATTAGATCTGCATTTTAAAGAACGGTGGAAGGGTGGCAGAGGGATTGGAGCAGGGATGCTACTACAATAGTACAGGTGAGACAGTGAGGACTTAATTAAAGCAGCAATTTGTAAAAAAAAAAAAAAAAATCTGTGAACTGCAATAAAGCAAAGTATATCTGTAATACTTCCAGCTGTACTTCACAAGAAAAAACCAGCAATAAAATCGTGATTAATAATTCCCTGTAAGAAAATGACACACCTAAGTAAATACATCTTAGAGGTTTGTATGATATACACAGGTAGCTCTGACAGTATTGCCAGCAATTACTGCAAAGCAGAACAGAACTAGAACTGAACAGTGACAATAAATCCATTAACAAGAAAGTGAATGGCAAGAGGAAAACATCTGAGCAAAAAGGCAATAGAAAAAGGTAGACTAAGGAGACGAAACTGCCCCAGAGGGCCCAAATGATGAGAGCAAGAAAAGCAGCTTTAGACATGTCCTTGACAAGCAAAGAGGGGGTAAAAAGAAAAGCAATAATTAGAAACAGTGGGATTTAGGACAGACAGAAAGCAATCCTGGGAGGGACTGAAAAAAAGGGCATGGGAACAGAAAAGAGTGAATGAGGCATTATCTGAAAACAAGGAAAAAGCCAGCCTAAAAAAGAAAAAAAGGGTAAGAAACAAAATGGATCCACGTTACTTGAAAACCAGGTGCTTGCCACACATGCTTCTCCTTTTTTATTTTTTTAAGGACTTTTTATTGATTTTTAGAGAAAGGGGAAGGGAGACAGAGAGAAAAACATTGATATGAGTGCAAAACATCAATTAGCTGCCCCTGCACGCCCCCTCCTGGGGACCCAGCCGGAGAGGCAACATCCAACCAACTGAGCCACACCAGCCAGAGCTGCTTTTGCGATTTTAACCTCAACCAAATTAACAGTTAAAAAATTACAAGGGAAAACACACGAAATATAAACTAATGATGGAAGACTATTATTTCTGTCTTGTCTGAAGTATATCTCAACAACATCTTTCTGACTGAAATTTGTGGAAAATCAAGCTTACCCAACCTCTCTCATTATGAAACAAACGGGAGAGGGCAGCTAGAGAATATATTAAAACAGCAAATGACAATAAATAATCTCACCAATGTTTGAAACCTGGATTATTTATTTCTTTTCCAGAGATGAATACCTGGTGAGAACTGATCAATGTTGTGAACAAATATTTGCCCACATACCACCTTATGCAAATCTGATATACTATATACCATTACTGTGAATATGATTTAAAAGAATGGGTGAGAAATATAAATAAGCAAATTAGAAAATAAAAAGTATAGGGAGTTAGAGCCAAGTTCAGAGGGCAGGAGTATTACCTCTATTTTTAGGGACTCATGGCAGAACTCTAGGGAGAATAACACTTCAAGACTACATAGTACCCACAAGTGCACCTTTAAAACCGTTTTTAAAAGCTAACTTTATTTTGCCCTGGCCAGTGTTGCTCAGTGGGTTGGGACATTGTCCTGTGCACGGAGAGGTTGCTGTTTGATTCCCAGACAGGGCACATTCCCAGGCTGCAGGTTCCATCCCGGGTGGGGGTGCATACGGGAGGCAAACTATTGATGTTTCTCACATCGATGTTTCTCTCGCTCTTTTTCTATACTCTCTCTATAAAAATCAATAAAAGCATTTTTATTAACTTTATTTTCACAGTAACATATTCTTCTAGGAAGGAGTACCTGTTAAACCGACTAGGGCTATGTTACCATATTGAGCTCTAAAACCAAAGATAACGCCAATCAAGTTGCTACATACAACCTTTATACGAGCTGATAATCATGGGGCGGACATATGTAATTTCAACTGCTACATCTATGGTGGCTGATAATTGTACATAATATTCCCCCCTTTTTAAAAAAAATGGTATTATCTTTAGAACTGAAAAGAGATGAAGAATCGCATGAAGACTAAGCCCATCGAATAGCCTCCTAGTCGTTCAGGTCTCAGCTCAAACGTTACCACCCTGTCCTAATGCTATTCTGTGCACAGTATCTTTTTTTTGTTTCCTTGCTAGCATTTAATATTCTCCGAAAACCATTTTACTTATGTGCTACTTAATTATTGTTTGCCTCCCTTGTCAGAAAGCGTGAGTGGGCCTTAAGGGTCATCTGCACCGCTGTGTTCTCAAAGCGCTTAGAAGAGTGCCTAGCACCCAACCAGGCACTCAGTAAATACTAACAACATAAAACAAAAACAGAAGCCGTCAGCCCTGCTGCTCAAACTTCTACTACCCCTTCCACTACCCCTCATGCACGTCCCCATGTTTCCCTTCTTGGTACGCTCAGCTAGCTACACTCGGGATGCAACCCGGGCTGCAGTCCCATGCGGCCCCTGGCACCAGGGAGTAGGCGCTCCAGCCGAGAACGCTGAATGAATGACTCGGCGAGCCGGGCACGTGTGGGTGAGGCCAAGGCAGCCCGGGCCAGACCGCTTCTGAGGTTACATCAGTCCAGGCCGCCACTCCGGCCGTCAGCCCCACCCACCCCCGCCCGCCGGATGCCAAAATGTGTCAAACTGTATGACCATGGCCACGAAGCCCTTTTGGAGAGGGGTCTCAGCCTCCGCGGGGAGACACAAGCTACGGGACGGCACTCACTGTAGGTCCGGCCGAGGGCTTGAAAGAGCAAATCGCGCTTCACGCTGACAGTCGGCATGGTGAGTAGGGTCCACTGCGCCTGCGCGGCGAGCGGTCCAGGCCTCAGGGACCCAGGTACGCAGAACCCAGCCCCTCCCCTACGGGCTGTCTTAAATATTGCCTGTCTTCTTCTAAAAGCTTCTGCTTTTCTTTTTCATCTGAAATCAAATAAATTGCCACTGTTAAGCTCATTAAAACTAGAAGCTTTGGATAAATAACCTACAGGCTGGTGAAGGAGACATAATTGGATAAAATAGGCGATGATTTGGTGGGCAATCGTCCAGACTGCAAAAGCCCTCACGCCTCTAAGGCTCCGCAAACTAGATGGGCGGTGCAAGAGGGGTGGGTGCATAGCAGGGGGCGGGGCCTCGACTCGGAGAATCCGGGCGGGGAGGTGGGGAGCACGTGACTGGGCGGTGTCTGAGGCAGCGGGAGAGTCTATCAACAGACCTCAGCCTTTATGTCATTGTTACAGTCTCCCTTGTACACTTGTAAGTACTGTCGCTGTGCTTTGTTTCAGCCTTGCAGCGGCCCTATAACGGAGGCCTCATATTTACTCCGTGATGCCCACGGGCCAATGCTATGCTCAGTCCTCTACCGGCCTTAGCAGATTTCCTCATGGCAACTCTGAGTGGACTGGGCTGAATAAGCACACCCCGCCCCAAAGGTATTAGGTCCTAAAGTTTAGGACCTAAACCCTAGGACCTGTAAATGCTGCCTTAAGTGGAAAGAGTCTTTTTGCAGGTGAAGGATTGCAAAATGGTGAGAGTATCCTGGATGATGGGAACGGGCCCTAAATAAAACCACGTGTCCTTATAAGAAGGAGGCAATGGGAAATCTGACGAACAGAAGAGGCAGACCATGCACCCAGAAGGCAGCGCGCGGAGCGGTGCAGCCACAAGGCCAGTCGTGCCAGGAGGCACCAGAAGCCGAAAAGGCGAGGGGATTCTCCCGAGCCCTCTGCAACCCGCCTGCGGTGTCTCGACACGCATTCTGGCCCAGAGAAACTGATTTTGAACGTCTGGTCTGCAGAACTGTAAGAATAAATTTCTTTGTTTTAAGCCACCAAGTCTGTGGAAAGTTGTTACAGCAGCCATGGGAACTTACACACTGGGTAGGTACTACCGCTGAAACATGGAATTTTAGGGGCATAGAGGCAGGCTTAGGGAATTTTTAGAATTGGGGTCCCTGGTCTGTGGTTGTTACAGCAGCCATGGGAACTTACACACTGGGTAAGTACTACCACCGAAACAGGAATTTTAGGGGCATAGAGACAGGCTTAGGGAATTTTTAGAATTGGGGTCCCTGGAAAAACACAGGGCTACAGAGTGAGAGAAGGTCCATTTCCATCACACAAGGAAGCCAGGCGCAGTTATATTTCCATAAGACAAGGGAACTGGAAGTAGCCAAAATAGGTCTATATTTACAAAATAAAGAAGGGGGAAGAAAGGCCAGAGGCAATAGGAGGACAATGAGGGAGGAGGGCCTCAGGAGTTACTATAGTAACCAATTCGAAAGGGAATATTGACCAACCAGAGGGGCTATCAGGGCACAGGAACTGCAGCCTTTATAGACCCTGGAAATAGGAAGTCCGTAGGACCCTTTCCCACTCCCCACGTGGGAGTCTGTGCTGTGAGATTCTTTCCCTTTTCCCACATGGGAGTCTGTATTTGTTCTTTAATAAATTTTCACCTTTGCTATACCACCTTCTGCCCGTGAATTCATTCTTCGACTCCACGGGACAAAGAATCCGGGTTCCAGTCCAAAATTCCGTATAACCACTGTCCCCATTTCACAGATAATGAACCTGCGGCACATGCTATCTGAATCACCCAACTCCCGAGGCAGAGCTGAGGCAGTTCCATGGGGGGGGGGGGGGGGGGTCTTGCCCTTTATTTCTCTACTGTACAGTGAATTGGCCTTCAAGGCCATTCATGTGAGGGGGCAGCAGCTGGATTGGATTTAGGCCGCCCTGATGGCCGGTCAAGTAGTTTTCCACTATATTCGTAGCTTCCCTCCATGGCTGCAGGCAGGCTGTCCCCAGTGCCCAGAATAACAGAGGGGCGGAGTCCCCATTAATGACATACATTTCCAATGCTAAATACAACTCTATGCCCCCAAATTGGTCCTCAGTGCTCAATTAATTAATAAAGGACTTTTGGAATTATTGCATGCTAACCTGCTCTCCTCTGGGCACTCCAAAGTGTTCTATAGCTGCTGAAACTCAGTTTCCTTCTCTATAATGTAGGGATAATAATACACACCTTAAAGGATTATTGTAAGGATTAGAAATAATACTCATAAATGTCTAATATAGTTCTTATGTCATTATTGTTATCTGTTCTCCTAGTCCAGTGGTCGGCAAACTCATTAGTCAACAGAGCCAAATATCAACAGTACAACGATTGAAATTTCTTTTGAGAGCCAAATTTTTTAAACTTAAACTATATAGGTAGGTACATTGTTATTAACTTAATTAGGGTACTCCTAAGCTGGCCTTTGCTAAAAACGTCCTCAATCTGATTGAGGTCGACCCCTTCCAACTCTCCCATCCACACTCATCTTGTATACTTGTTTCGTCTATCTCCTTTCGTTCATCCTCTCTATATGTCCAAACCATCTCAACATACCTTTCTCAATCCTCGACACTACATCTTCTTTCACTCCACAGCGTTCCCTAAAATTAACTTAATAAACTTTACTTAAAGTTTTAAGTCAACTTTGTGGAAGAGCCACACTCAAGAGGCCAAAGAGCCTCATGTGGCCTGGGAGCTGCGGTTTGCCGACCACTGTCCTAGTCAGTTTCCTGCTATTCTTAGACTACCCAGAGGCATTCTGTTCTAATCTCCCACATGCCCCATCTCATCCTTCCTGCTTTTCATCCTTGAACATACACAGGTGCTCTGTACCTTCTCTATGACTAGCTATTCTAGTGGAAAAGGAAAAACTAGGCCACCAGTGCTCATCACAAAGAGAACTGGCTGACTGATAGGAAAGATACTTGGAAAATGTTGAGATAGACTATCACAAAATGTAGGTAGGTGCTTCTCTCATCTAATTTTAGGGCCAGCCTGAGAGCAAGAATGAAATGGCAGCATTTCCTGGAAATGAAAGATAGGCTAGCTAATAAACAAAAAAAGTCTCCATGCATTAGAAAGTAGAGGGGTGCAAATTAAAATTATAATGAAATAGCTCTGGCTGGGTAGCTCAGTTGGTTAGAGCTTTGTCCAGAGATGCCAAGGTTGCAGGTTTGATCCCCAGTCAGGGCACATTGAGAAATAAATAAGTGGGACAACAAATATCTCTCTCTTCCCCCCCCCCCACTCCTCCTCTCTCTAAAACTAATCAATCAATCAATCAATCAATAAAGAATTTAAAGAGGATATTGTCTAGGGATATATAAATAGACATCACAACTAAAAGGAAAAGAGATGAGCCAGGGCTGAGTAGCTCAGTTGGTTAGTGTGTTATCCCAATAAGCTAAGGTTGTGGCAGGTTGTGGGTTCGATCTCTGGTTGGGACACATGCAGGAAGCAACCAATGAATGCATTTTTTTTAAGTGAAAAAAAACACACAAATCAATGCCTCTCGCGTTCTCCTCTCTCTCTCTCTCTCCCCCCCCCCCTTCTCTCTTTTAAAAAAAGGGGGGGGGATGATAAACAAAATCTGAGGCTAATTAGTTCTGAATGGGATGTAAAGGACACAGCCTGGGGAGGTTGGGATACCAAAGAGTTTCAAAAATATAAGTAATGTTCTGTTTATCCTGGTATACCGCCATGTATGTGTAGTAAGAAAGTAAACATGAAGGTGAGAAACAAGAGATGAATGTGGCACTCTTTTGGGGGTGAGGGAGACAAATGCTTGGTGGCCTATAGATGAGTAGAAACACAATAGGAATACTTAATATTTGATTTTGTTTTAAGTTATTTTTTCATAAAGAACTTTTTTTCAAAGTTTTAGTCTAACTTATAATTAATTTCCTTTAGAGATTCTGCATTTTAGGTTATGGTTTTTCTTTTGAAGGTTCAAAAATGGTTTTATTTCATTATTAACCCAAGTATAGGTTATGGGTTTTTTTTTAATTTATTGATTGATTTTAGAGAGAGAGAAGGGGAGAGAGAGAGAAACATTGATTTGTTGTTCCACCCATTCATGCATTTGTTGGTTACTCCTTGTATGTACCCTGACTGGGGGATTGAACGCATAACCTTGGTGTATGAGGATGATGCTTTAACCAACTGAGGTACATAGCCGGGGCTCTATGCAAGTTTTTGAACATGCCAGGTAGTGGCCCACCTTCGAGCCTTTGAACTGGCAACTCTCTCTGCTAGAATGTCCTGGCCCCTAGATTCCTACAGGGCTAGCTCCCTCAGTTCCTACAAGTGTTTTCAGAAAGACCTATCCCTGGCTATACTACTTATTATGGTTATAGATACAAATGTCTCTACCTGCTAAAACATAAGTTCCATAAAGCAGAGATTTTTGTGTTTTGTTCACAAAAGTATATATGCCTAGAGCCTCAAACAGAATAGATCCTCAATAAATATTTGAAGTTTTCATTTAATGATAGGAATATTTGGTATATTATATTTTCCTTTTTAAAATAGATACTTCAATAGAAAAAAATGGGCAAAGGAAATAAATAATTCATTAAATAATCAGAAAATAAAAAGTGAGGAAGGGAGGTGAAATGTAAATTAAAACAACAGTGAAAGGAGGGCTATTTTCTCCATAGAGACTGGCAGAGATTAAAGAAATAAATGATACCACCTTGTGTTGGCAAAGGTTTAGGAAGCTGGCACTCTTAGACACACCTTTCATGATTATAAATAGCAGTTTGGCAATATGAATAAAATCCCTTTGAACAAACTCATGATTTGCCAGATGATTGAGGGGCTGGGTGGAAAACGTGAAAGGGATTAAGAAGTACAAATTGGTGGTTAGAAAATAGTCACAGGAATGTAAAGTTCGGCATAGGGAATATAGTTAATTATATAGTAACTAGAGGCCTGATGCACAAAAATTTGTGCACTCGGGGGACATCCCTCAGCCCAGCCTGCCC